CATAAAAATACATAACCATGCAACTGAAGAGCAGCAAAGGCCAGGAACCACAGGTCATATTTGGCAATACGCTGAGCTCAGTGTCACGTTTCGCCACTTTCTAATATGCCTGAACTTTTCTCTGCCATGTTCCTGTGTGCACGTCATGAAGTCTCTGAATTAAGAGATGAGAGACCAACTGAGTTTGCTTCTTCAGTGTTTTTCATCTGTTTCACGGAACATGCAAGTGATGTTATTCCCCATATTATTTTTAAGACCACAAAATACCTCTACATCTGCCTTCACTTCAGGCAACCCTTCTTCATTCAGTCTAAACATTCTTATTTGATTTTCCTTATGCTCACCTGATCTAGAAAGCAGTGCTACTTTCCTGGTGATCTAGATTAAGACAAGAAGATTTTTGTAGATATTCTCTGCTACAATTGAGGCAAATAGTAATTACACTTGCATCAATATTAGTAAATCCAGGCAGGGAAGTAACAAAAAAAAAATTAAAAATTGGTTGATTTTGAATAGTATTACTGGAGGAGCAATGTATGATCAGGTAATTTTGAGCCTATACAGAAGGTCTCAAGACTGCCAAGTTCCATCACAACTGAGATTAACTCACCCATGCACAGATGTTATACATATACAATATCAACTTACGGGAATTAGTTACAAGAGTAAGGTTCACTGTTTAACTGACAGAAGTGATTCATATCCATTTTTTTTAATGACTCCAAACACTACTTCTAATGTTTGATAAATAATGGAGTCAAGACCAAAAACATCACAGAACTAAAGCTCTGTGCCTGCTTTTTTAAGTCAGTCTCTTCTCTACTATAATATTAAAGACTCAAAACACCATGAAGCAATTTGTCATACATCTTTAATCACAGTACAATAATGTAGTGTTTCTGCCTTTAAGGAATACTCTCCATGTTGCCCTTTTTAATGCAAACTAAATACCTGCAAGAAAGTAAAATTACACTGCATAAAGAACAGGATGTAAATTTATCTTTCATTACATTTGCACAACTACTTGGATACAGTAGGAAAAATTTCAACAAATTTTGGAGAGTTGCAACCATTTTTTTAGACATAAGCTTCATCTAATTCATATCAATGTTATTCAAGGCAGTTGGTTTCCTGCTACCGAAAAGAGCAGTTTACCAAATCATTCTGAGCTCGGTACAGTGACAGTTACATTAGAAGCTTTAATGTTTCAAAACAGCTCTCTATGGGAGAGAACCAAATGTGCAGCTATTAATTTACTCAGCATCTTGATTCTGACTAGATCTCACAATCCTCATGAAGTACATACTAATTTGAAGCTAAATCTACATCAAGATTTTATAGCTGTAACTAAAGTTCTTGCTGATGTAAATCTGTGACCTACTGCAGACTTTAATCAATTCACAATGAGCAGTACCCCACAGGGAATCAAAAGTCATTCTAGATGATCCTCTTGTCCTAAATTTGCAAAAAGCAACATCCACAATCAGTTCAACTGGAAGACAAATTCCAAAAAGACTGCCAGTGTATTACAAGCAGCTACCAGTATCAAAACCAGATGTCTGCAAGTGTCTTCTGGTAGGATTAATTTCTTAAAATAATACAGCTTTTTGAGCAGACAGAACTTTAAACAAGCTGGATGTATATTTCAAGCAGCACAGGAAAAATCAAGTAGATTACTTGTATGTTCAATTATCAAGCAACAATTTTAATGTTTAAGAACTGCACTCACACCTTTACTTTTACAATTAAATACTGCCACAGTTTTTCTGCTTAGTAATAACTTCTATGAAAATCAGAAGCTTGTTTAGGCACAGTACTAAATTTAATTACAAAGGTGCTTAAAAACAGATGTACAAGGTCAAACAAGTGCAATGTACTAGAACACTGATCTAAAAAAATGACAATTACTTTGTGATATTTGAGGAAACTGGTCTCAGATGTGCACAGGAATTAAGGTTATGACATGAAAATGACTGTTGAAAAAAGCTGAATAATGCAGTCAAATGAAATATTAGGCCAACTTAGTCTTGTGGGGGTTTTGGGGCTGACATCTCATGCCTATGCTCAATAGGGAATTCCTCAAGTGCCGAAGTTGATATCTTTGATGCCAGAAAGCCGAGAGGTGTGCCACGGTATTACTACCTGTGAGTCAGTTCGCGCTGCACATGGACAGCCAGAAATACCTTTGCAACATACACGCTGACACCATGAAGCTGTAGCAACAGCTTCACAGTCGACTCATTAGATGCACTATCACAATTCATTTATGTTCCTTTCATGCAGAACTTGACGTTAGGGTCTTTGTTGCCTAAATCTTTCTGAATAAGTAACAATGCTTGCACTAGAAATCTTAAAAGCAGAGGGGAAGAAAATGATGTGCATTTGCATTGGATTTAACTAAAGAGGTTCCAATCATTAAATTAAGGACTGCATGAGCTGAGATAAACCTCAGATGCTGCATGCCTTCCTACAGCCCCAAAGTAAGTTTAAGCAAATGTCAAAGAGCAAACATACATGTTAATGAAGGCCACATATTATGAAGATCATTTCCACCCCCTGCATTAGTCTTAATTACTGTACAAGCTTAAAATCACAGGCCTTGCTAGCAGGATGACAGTTTTTAAAAATATTGAGAAAGAATACAAGTTTCTTATTCTATCATTTGTAAAGAAAGGAGAATATTCTTAATCAGTCTGGATGTCTGACTCCACAACAGAAACGGCTAGGACAGTGGGAAAAAGACTGCAGAGAAAGATCTGTCTTCTTGCCCACAAGTGAAATACTGTGAAGAAGCATAACAGAGTCCCTGTACAAAGCAGCAAGCAGGCGCACATCAGCTTAGCACTGCAGAGGGCACCTCATTCTGCCTTTCCTCTGACCAATCTACCAAAAAAATTAAATAATTAAAAAGTCAACTTTCTAATATTCCTGGGCCAGCGAGGGAGTCTGTGGGAGTAACTTGCAGAGCTAACAAATCAGCTATAAAATTTGGGGCACAGGAGAATTCTACAGAAGAAATTTGGGTGAGGAGGTGACAAAGGCAAGGACACTGAAAAGGGATCCCGGGAGGTCCCTCTTCTATACCTTGTGCATTTAATTACCAACCACCTGCCTGGCTCCTAGAACTCACCATCATGAGCTCCTAAACCTAAATCTACCTAGTGTGCCTTAAGCTACTGAAATTAGTTTTACAGATGCTTAAATCCTTTAGACACTTTTATTCAGTCTTCACTACAACATGAAGCCTGAGCGCTTAAATCCCAGACAGCAGATAGAATTTTAGCCATTTCACAAAAGAAAGCGATTATTCTAAATTATTTTCTTATCTGCATGCTGAACCAGAAAGCTCTAGATTCATCATAAATAAATGCAGCTGTAGTCTTATTTCAACAGAGCTCTTCCTGCACATCAAGGATTACATGGTCTTTGAAAGAATATATAGAGATGGCCGTTAGAGAGTTGTGGAATAAGACAGAGAAGAGCATCAGAACTTCTAGGAGGTGTACAAATACACAGAGATACCAGGAGCACTAGCTGCAATTCTGTAGATACATTTTACTTGCTATGTCAGAAGCAGTGGATTAGCAGAGCTTTAGTGGCTGTTTTTGCCCTTCTCAAATGAAACTACTCAGCCTGGCTGTATACTCTCATATATATTTCCACGGGTTGTCCTGGAGAAAATTCATGAAGGCTTTAAACCGGATCCTGTGTTTTCAAATTGCTGCTTGAAGCAATAAAACTGAAAACTAAGTTGCTGGACAGTAACTACATGATACAACCATGACTTTTCAATTAACTTTTCAAATGCACCTAAAGAAATTAGAACCAAATTTCTTAAAGCAAAAGCTACATTCAAGCCTTCTTTTTTATCTGTTGTACAGCTGCTGTATTTTATTTGAGGAATAGAAGAAATAACCATGACTTGAAATCTTGGTCCTGGAAAAGAACACATCAAAATACTGACAGATACTAATGTGGCAATAAACTAAGAGCCTTGTACTACAACAAGTTGGAACATTTGATAATGTGATGAAGAAAATGTTAACAGCTACCACGTGGGGATGCCAGAAGGCATATAAGAGGCATATACATTGCAAGAAACTGGAAGTTATCTCTCTCAAAATCAGGAAAAATAGGAAGTGGAATACGCTTGCACACAGAAGACATCACATGTATGTTACATAGGAAATAAAGCATTATGCTTCATCTTTTCATATAAACTAATACATTTCTTCACACAAGGAATACAACCTGAGTCATTTCAGTTACTCTCTCAATTCTAGTGCTGCTTTCCTTATGGAAAAAAAGTAATTATCCAAACAGAACATTCCCTGAGTCAACAAAGAAAACCAATACAACCGATTTTGGTTTGGAAGAGTCTTCCAAAAAAACCAGCAAACCACACAGAGTTTGGTACTGTGCTAGTTTTAGGTGTTTTTAGTACTTTGTATCCATATATAAGTGAATATAGTGATGGTGTAATTACATTCTAATAGAGCAAGACCTCCCTAAACTGTCTATGATCCAATCCCAATTTGGGAGAATTGTTTTGTAATACTTTACTCTTCTTGAAGATATCTCTCTGATCAGAACTCCATTTGCATCTCAGGGCAAAAACACAGCCAAAACATATGCAAAATTACAGAGGCCCACTGCATAACATCAACGAAATACCAATTTTTCAACCCTCACAGATTTGGAGACACAAAAAGAGCTAGAGACAGATGAATGCAAACCATTGTACATGGCTAGAGAGGAGAAAGGAAAAAAACTCCTAAGTCGGCCACAGTCTTACTTGGTCCTGCTGATTTTAGTTTGCAGGTGGAAGCAAGAAAATTCCACCTCGCTCAGAACCCTTTAAGGGTGTCCACCATGTACTTTATGCAGAGATGCTCTCAAATCCAGCCTGAAAGAGGAATCAGTATTTATATTCTGCTTATTTCAACACGAATACACAAACATTTGGCTATTTGGATTGAAAAATATAACTAGTTTACATAAATATTTTCAACATCCAAGAAAATGTACAAATCTCAAGTCAAACACGTTTGGCTTGCAACAAGCCTTGCTTGCTAATGTCTTTATAAAGGCTCAGTTTTAAAGAAAAGTAGTAATTTTAAAGACAACCAATATACCGCAAATGCCATCCCATTGTATGGAGACACTCATTGTTCTATACTTCAGTACCAAATGATACTATTCCACATCTGCTTGCAAGCAACATATACCTTGTTTTGGTCCTGGGTAGTTAATCTCCACTCCTATGCTTTGAAGCAGTCTTTTTAGAGCTCAGAGAAAGCACTGCACCTGAAATATTCAGCAGCATCATGCAAAACCATTGTTTAGTCACCAAGGCTTTGGGTTGACTGTGTAAAAGTGGAAAACCACGATGACATAGCTGATTTTGCACTTGTGAAGGCTCCTCCAACCGACTGACCTGCATTACAAAACAAGTGAAAGAAGGTCAATTGTGTAGTTTAATTGTTACTAAGTTACTACAAAGAAACATAACAAACCACAATCGGTTATCCATTTAGAAATTTAAAATCTGTTTCAGGAAATATTCAAAGGACTTGAACACTGTAGCTCAGCAGAAATGGCCTATATGCTGTCCTTTCCCTGGACGGTTTGCTAGACTTCAGGACGAAAGGTGCTCCCTGCTGGAATGTACAACAGCAGAGAGTGTAGAAAGACTCCAGTGGAATAAGAGAGGAAAATTTTTGGCCAAGCTACTGCCCAACAACTATCAGATTCTTCAGTGGGTGAACTCACAGTATCTTGCAATGCAAGATGACAATGTGATGCTGCCCCCATTCAAGTGCAACGAGTGCTTTTCCAGAAAGTAACAGACAATTATAAAACTTGCAGAAATGGACTCAAGGTCCTCCTCTGATTTCAGCCAGCTCTGGAGAGTTTCAAAGTGCTATAAAAATGAGAATAGCTCAATGGAGAAGGCGGTGTTGTGGTCTAAGCACTTCCAGATTTCATTATAGCTTTTACCTGAACATCCCTCTTACCATGTTCATCTCCAGCCCACAGTGGGAAAGGAATTTACACCTATTTCTTTGTCTAGCTGCTTCTCTTTGCACTACTACACAATATACAGGGTCTCAATCAGCGGTTTTACCCCTAAAAATGTTGCTGTTTTGTATGCATGTTATGAGGTACACTTGGACTGAAAAGAAATATATGCTTCTCCAAAGATGATACAACTGGTTTTAAGTAAGTTTCTTACCTACAGCTTTTCCTGTTTGTACAACGTTTCGACTAGTAGAAACCATTGCATTTCCAATCTTCTTTCCACGTTCACTGTTTTGCACAGAGCTAAACAAGAGACATACCAAAGGCTGTTAGTTGACTGATTTCTTATTACTGCCAGGTGTAAATAAAATACATAGTTAAAATACATAGCAAAACACTTGCAGATTTACATAGCACACATATATATACATATATATATATGATCAAGCACATAATTCCTGCATGCAATTTATCCACATAGATCAGCGGGGCAAGCTAAGAGCTACTAGTCCTTTTACACAGTTTTCAAGCTATTTCGAAGAGTTAGTATCTCCCCTTTCAAACAGAAAAATAGTGCATGTAAAAGACTAGAGACCACTCTACATCTTCGCAACTAAGTTTTTCTACAAAGACCCTCCTTATCAGAGCTGCTATCAGCATACACCTTATTGAAGGTAATTACCTTGAGATAACTCTTGATTAATTTGCATTCTCAGTCAACCATTAAGTGGTCGCTGGTCAGCAAAAGCTACAAAAAGATTCAGCAGGCTGAAGCCTGAACCTTTTAATTCCTCAAGCTGTTCTTTTACATTAGCACGTGTTTTAGGTCTACTCACAGTGTACTAAAAATAATGGCCTACAGTGGAGGCAGGTGCAGCACCAACAGCACGTAGGTATTGCTGATTTAGATCTATCTTAAAAGAACCAGTTTCTGGTGTTTTATGGTCAACACAGCTAAGTGAGAAAGCGATCTTTTTTTGCTTAGTGCACGAATAAGAAGAGATAATTAACTGGAACTCCAAGACAGAATTCTGGCTTCAGTTAGTGCTGGACAGCTGTGGCAATAACCAGCACCACTGAGTTTTAGACTGGAACACTACAGGAAAGAGCTGAGACCAACTTAAAATTCTGTTGAGTCTGGTGCAGTAAGAGATTATGTAAAACTCATTTTAAATTTCTAAACTGAAGAAATTGAACCATGTCTCAGCACATATACACTGAACTATTTTAGGACAATGCCGTAATAAAAAATAGCTACTTTTTTTTCTTTTAAAAAGCTGTTTTCTCCTAATAATGAGACCTAAGGTCAAGATAAAAGAAAACACTGAGGAAAGTTTTAACAGCCTTAGTTTACAATTTAAAAACTAATGTACAAAAGTGTTATAATTGCAATGCAAAAAGTCAGGGCTCTATTATGTGAAGTCCAACACAAAATAGCACGTTAGAGATGTTTTTCCCTATTCAAGCAAATGTTCCATATCTTTAGAAATGGTGATGTTTTGCAAGAGAACGTTAAGCACAGTTTCATGTACGTGGCCAATTTAAATCATTATTTTGTTTAGTTTATCACAGCAACAGTTATACAGCTATATTTGACCACACTTAAAAAAAATACAAACTGAAGTACAATATACTCACTGTGACAATCTTAACTTAACATCTGATACAGAGTACTGTCCCTGGAATGGGTGGCTAGAACAGGATGAAAAAACCAGAGAAAACTAAGTATCTACTTTATTTTATGATGAACCCATATAACATGATTATTGGTTCTACTCCTCTCTGTTGCTTACAAAAAAATCTCAATCTTTTGTAGATATTTTACTCTATCACTTTACAGAAGGCTTGGTTCCAGTGCCTATTCAACCTTACATTTCTTATGAACTACCTGTAAGGTGCTTTCTATTTATAACCCAGATACAAAGAATCTTTTCACCCTAAGGCAGAGGCACCACATCTTAGCAACACAGACCAAAAAAAATACACATAACCAACCCGAAGTATAGAAGATGCAACTTAAACTAGCCAGCTCCCCTCCATCCCCATCAGTGACAACCCTGGACACAGCTGTTCCCTGGACACCTGGAAACAATTAATAAAAAGCAGAACCATCTGAGGACAATTCCTGAGGACTGACAAACTTTCTATAGCTGAGGGCAGCCAAAAATCAACTCAAGTTTCACTTCTTCCAACCCTGGATATAATTTTCTTCATAAAACTATAGCCCAGAATTAGAGGAAGGTATTGAAGAACAGAAACACTCAGTTTCTGTACTTACAGAGTAGGGCCCAAAGTTTCACCCTTAGGGCTTTTCAGCATTCCTCTTGTTCCTGCTATGCTTCTACAGAATAGTGTCGCTGACTATGCATACTAGAAGCTCTCTATCTTAAATGCCAAAAAAATAAATAAAAAAAGAAAAAAGAAAAGTTTTCTTACCTAGAATTTACCTCTGCAAGAGCAGGATGCTTGTTGCTATTCCATACTCTATAGTTGTGGGTGTTTTTCCAAGCTGCTACAAATGCTGTTCCAAAGTCTGACAAAGTCTTTTCATTGTCTGATAAATTAAAGATGAGAATTTGCAGCAGTTCATTAGAGATGTAATACAACACAAATTGCTTTTTTTCTTGTGAAGAAAAACTGTTTTTTTCCAGGCTCTAATCAAAGACAATTAAAACTCTAGTACTAAGAAATAGGCGCTTCGAAAATGTTTTATTATTTCATTTTAAAGTGACTCAAATATACAATGCCAGGACAAGGCAGGGGGGAAAGGCAAGCTTAAAAAAAAATACTTTTAAAATTTTTAATTAATTTTAAAAGTTCTAATTAAAGAGCCCAATTAGGGGAAAAATCCTCCAAACATAGCCTCGACTTATTTTCTGGGGAAAGAAAGGGGAGAGAATGGCCACACAGCAACTAAGAACAAAAACATAATTTGCACTGGTCTTAGTCAGAAACACTGGCCTTTGCTGTATGTTATTACTTGTTCAAATTTAGCAAATCCCAAATCCACTCCAAAACAGCAGTACGAACTACTGTGGAATAAACTTATAACAACATTCCCTTTAAAACACTGCATAGTATATCAAATCATTTTAAAGCCAGCAAAGCAGTAGGAGTTTCCAGAAAACCCTGATGTTTCCTATCAACCAAGTAGCCATCTTAAAATATTAATTTTGCCAAACTTAACATTTTCTAAACTTTGAAATCAAGTTCACGATCCCATGGTTTCTCATAAATACTGCAGAACAAGATCTGTATTAGTTTACTGATGTGAATAGAGAATGATTGTGATGACTATGAAGTTAACAGGGTTGGGGCTGGGCAAATTAACCACGTTCCACAAATAAAACACTGATTCTTTTTGTTACATTCATGTACAAAAGGTTGAAACATAGATCATTCTCTCCGAGTTAATACAAAAAATGCTGAGTTTCAGAAAACATAAGCTTATACAGCCTCTACACGACACTTTTCACTTATGTGAGTCCCTACTTGAGGCCACGATAGGAAGAGAAAAGAGATGGAACAGCTTAGCAAAATTTCCCAAGACAGCCAGTTAACTTCACGTTTCCTTGAATCCAATTCGTCCCCTCAAATTAACTTCAGGTTGCAATACACTCAAGTTTGTAAAAGTCTCATCATATATGAGGTTGCAGGTACTTCTAGTTATGAGGAAAGATAATTAAATCAAGGAGGAGGAAACAGTGAAAGTGTCTGTAAGGCTGTGAAGTAAGAATTAATAATAAGCTTGTCATGGAATCACAAGGATAGACAGGGACAACTGGAAAAGCAGCGTAAAATGAAACATTAGGCACAGGTAGATGCAAAGATAGGCCACACGTTTAACACCAGAGGGTCACACCACAACACATAAATGCTTACAACACCCACCATCCTCCTTCAGTCCCTAGACAAGGTATCTGCTCTACCTGGCTGCAGCACAGCTGCAAGCAGCGCATGAAGGTAAGCACTGAACTGAGCCCGGATCCACTCATCTCCTCCTTCCCATCCAGTGCCATCGAGGAAAACGTCATCTCTGTTCTCAGTTACGTGCTTCACCAAGTAATCTGCAAATCTCAGGTCAGCAGTTGTCGGGTTCAGGATCTTCCGGAGTTCTGGATCATGGATTTGCACGTGAGCATCTTCTATCTGTTTGAAATAGTTCCGAAGGCAAACGTCTATCTAAATAAAACTGCTTATAAATACTATTGCAAATTGCCACCTAAATCTAAACTGACAGTCCCCCAAAATATTAAGGAAAAACAAACGGCCAAAGAAAGGATGACTTAACTGTTCTCAGAAAGTCAGTTACTGCTTTGATAAAACCCGATTCTGATCATCTTCCTGGCACACAGTAAAAATTGCTTATTTTGCAGGATTTGACAGGACAAGTTTGGTGCTCACATACATTTTCCTAGAGGCTCTCCGATTCTCGCTTTAGCTCATTAAGTTGGTTACCTAACTGTCTTAGGTTACCAAATACTGATTATATAGTTTCATCTATTTGCTAGAACTGAAACAGTGTTTTCTTGGATAGTTTTTTTTAATCTTTTGATTAAATCAGAAGGAAGTCAATAGCAATGTGCTTTATTATCCAACTGTTTCTCAGTTGCAAGCACTTTTTGAAGACTTTATTACAAAGTCATGAATACAGTCCATGACATGAAAAGTAAAATTACACTAGCAACAAAATAAAAATTTAAGAAGTGGCTTGCAAATTCAAATATTGGATATAAGAATATACAAAAAATATGTTTTATACAGTTTATCTAATCCTGCTCTAAGAAATAATGCAAATTTAATTAGCTCCTTTATTTAAGAATTTATTTAATAGGCAGCTCATTCAAAGCTTGGGCACGAATGCGAAACTTTAAATCTGTGTATAAAATGCAACCTCTGCTTCCCCCCACCCCTCTTTCTAGATCGAGAAAGCCAAATACAAGGATTCATACTTCTACGATTGCATCACTCAGATGTTTCTGCTGCCGGAAGAGGATATTGGTTGCTCCTGCAACAAAGCCACGCACTGTTACGTCTGACAGGAGATGATGCTGCTGCAGTGCCATGTATGGCAAACAAAGGTACCCCTGAAGTAACAGATATTTAGAGGATTAACATAAGGCCAAGAAAAAAACCCAGCTGTCTCTATTCAGAGTTTTTCCTAATAAAAGGCAGCATATTCCACTGAGAACGAACCTTGGTTATTACAATTTCAGCCACGATTATCTATTGTTTTACTACGCTACATCTGTACAGCAAAGCAATCCGATTCCACGTGAATTAAATTTTTCAAGAGGTTGTGCTGCCTTTCACTCTCAGGACTATAACTGAAATACAATGCAAAGGGCAGGAATGAAATGTGGTTATAAGGCAACAGACACAGCAGCATAAAACAAGAGTGAGGTCTCGGGTCAGTTCAGAGAAAGAGGTTAATGGAGATAAAGATTCAGCTCTCCACTTGCATACCATACTGTCTTCTGGCAGTCCTGAGACACATAAGGCAGGAAAGCTACAGACTGCAATCTACATTTTTTTAGGTGGAATTTCCAGGCTCCAGAGAGAGCAATCAATTTTTGATAAGCATATTCATGACCGCTTTAAGAAAGAGCGGGACAGAAAGCAATATGCTCTGCTTTTTAGCCATTCCATGTTTCTAAGTTCACCTAGTAGCCTATATTCCAATAAAGGAAAAAAAACAAAAAACCCCAAAAACATTTTGAAAAAAGGCTTCGAAGTAAGTCATTGAGAGATGACTGAGAAGCAGCTGTAGATACTGTAATTTTCTTTTTAAATGCGGGATCAACATACCCCTGAAGTCTAATACTGAAGTCTAATTCCAGCTGTTCAGTTGCATAAAGCACAAAGCAATTTATTCACCAGTAGAAACCCAGGAGGGCTAATGGCACACTGGACAGAAACAAAAAAGCACAAGCACACAGCACATGGTAACTGGAAACATATGGAAGAAAGGAGCACAACTACTCCCTTTTGTTGTATCAGACACAGGGATGGCTTTCCAGATGACAAGCACTCATCAGCTGAAAACAAGCAGCCTGTGTCAAAGGAACAATAGTGCTTTGAGAGGAATCACCAATCTAAAATGGAAAATTTTCAAAAATACGGCTTAAGCAGCTGGCAAAGAAAGGTTTAACTACTATATACTAAGTAGCAAAGTCTTGAAAGTCTTTCACAGTTTGAAGTATCAACTGTCAGTTCCCAAATTCACAGTCATCTGCAAGTATAACATCTTTTACTTCCATGAAGACATTCCATTCTTTTTAAAAGAGTACAAACAAAATGAATATTTGATCTTGCAGAACTGGTAGTTAAAAAACAAGTATCACAACCCATATTGCCTTATGCTCAGGTGTACTTGGATTATGCCATCTGGCAAAATCTCCTCCCATTCAAATTTGTCACATTTATTAGTCTTCCTGTGTAGTGGCATAAAACAAGACGAGAGTCCTAAAGGAGATTGAAACTTTCCAGGAAGTGGTTAAATTCTAACTCTGAGTTGCATTTTTCTGATACCTTAGAGATGTAAAGCCTTTTCTGCTTTAATTACGTTGGATGAACTCAAATGAAAAGTACATTCACTGAAGAGAAGGTAAGCATGTAGAAACTGTCAGCTTCCTTCAAATTGCTTGCTTTTCCATTTTGTGAGCAAACTAAGTTTGCACTCGTAGGCCCCCTTACCACTTATTTTCTTCTTGCTTTCAATCTAGTATTGTCATTAGAACTAGACTAAATACAATTTACAGGCTACTCTTTTCATTAGACAAACATCAGACTGCAGGTCTTTCTTGAAAAAGTATTTCCAACAGTGACATAAGGCAATCCAGGGCAACGACATCTAAGCTGCTCACTTGGGCCCACACGGAGTAGCCTTTCCAACAAAAGTTATTGTGAGAAGCTTAAAAACGATCATCAAATACAATGTTCTGCAAGGAAATGCAAATGAGCATCTCCAAAGAAAGAAACACCACTTTGAATCTCATCAGCTTGAGGAAATGAAACACCACTTTGAATCTCATCAGCTTGAGGAAATAAACCTGAACCTCTTACTTTTTGGGCAAATGTTCATCTAAAAGGTTATTACACTAAAAATTTTTTATATCACTCTTCTACTGACAAAAGTATCTTTAAATAAGGATGCATTTTCCCTGTTTTTTAAAGGAAACTAGTCCTAGTAAATGTATTGCTTGCTTTCTGACAATGCCCATCAGAGTCCTTAGAGAGATTCTGGAATACTTGGAGTTCAGTTAGGCATGAGCACAAGCTTAAAATTCAGCAGCTCAGCACGATGCACACAGAAAGAGCCACAGACAAGCAGGAAGAGTTATCATGTAAACAGAAGTCATATACATATATATTTTTTTTGTGTGTGTGTGTATATACATAGACACATTGATATACACATTTCATGCATTTATACACACATGCACATTTGTAAATACACATACATAAAGACTAAAAGAAGAAAACACAGGCTCAGGTGCCAGATAAGATAAAGCTTTCAAAATCTTAGTTTAGATTAAGGTATCCAAACACTTGTTAAGTACTCTGATCTTGCCTCATATAGGTTAGATCAACAATTCTTCAGAGTAAAAGGAAATAGTAGTTACTAGTACATAGCATTTATCAACCACAGTGGATGGTGGCAGGTTACCATCATGTAGAATTGCAAATAGCAAGTAAGTACACCTATGCAAGAAAAGTTGAATGCCTGTGGGTGTGCGTACACCCCTCTCAGACATACACTCCTGCTTTCCACCTGCGTGGGACCACAGTCACTTGCCACAGCCTGTACTTACATGTTTCGTAGTACCCTACTGTCCATCTGGAGCTGGGTAACCAAAATGATTAGCCACTTCTGTAAAACAGATGTCTTTATGAGTTACAAGTTATCACGAACAACATGTTTACCTTTGTAAAAATAGCCAGTGGCATACCGTACTGGTCCTCTTGCAACCCAGATATCAGTCCTGGAACAAGCACTGTGTGTCCTGTGTTTGCCTGGGGCTGTACAGTGATTGGGAGGCTTTCTGAGCTCATGCCTTTGCTCGAAAGATTTTCAGCCTGTTCTGACGCTGTATCTTCATGTTCCTCTTTCAAATTAGACTCCTCCAAAATGCTAGGATCTAAGGTCTCCCAGTCACTTTCAGAGGACGCTGGAGAAGCGTAGGAAGGAACTTTCAAGCGCTGCACAGTACTGCTGGAGGACTGAGCTCCATTGCAAGTCTTCTCTGACTGGGAGAAAGGCACATTCATTTTCTGACCTTCCACTGAATGGTTTCCTGACATCTTTCTGCCTTCATTTCCCATTCTTAAGTTTGTATTCGAAGTATCAGCAGAAGACACAGAAACATAATTATCTAACCATCGGGTAGTTTCCTGCAAGCCAGTATCCTCTGAGAGGCTCTTTCTTGGTCTGTACTGTGAGCAGTCAGTAAGTCCATGTTCAATCATACCTGGAAAGTGATATAAGGCATGAGTACCAACATCTCAATAGAAATTAAGGTGACTTCTGATAAAGAAAATGAACAAAGTGTTCTTGTGTGCACAGTGGAAATCACTTATTTTAAAACACCACTTTGGGAGGGGTTAAAAACAACCAAAACCAATCGAACAGCCACAATTTCTCGCCTAAAGAATCTGCCTGAGTTTTTTTGCTTTGAGAAGACTGGTTAAAAACTAAGTATCAGCAAGGTTAAGGGTTTGATTGGTTTTGGGTTTTTTGTTTATTTTTGTTTGTTTAAATGTTTTTGTTTGGGTTGGTTTTTTTCCTCTTCTTTTTTTAAAGGCTGCATGTAGAAGAAGAGAGAGGTGTATATTTTGGGGGTTTTTTTAAGGAGCTCACCAGGAATGTGTGACTTATTCAGGCTCCCATCTTATGTTACCCACAGGCAATACAGAAGATCCAGTCACTCAGATTAAGCACAAGAAATAACCCATAGAGTGCAAGTACTAAGGACTAGAAGATGTGTACATAGTACATGGACATGCATACAAGTCACAAGTTTTTCATGCAATACACCAGTGTAACTCTACTTAGGTCACATAAGCTGTTTTCCAACTGAAACAGCCAGTCTCAGTTTTCACCAGAAAACATATATGTCTATATATATATATATTTGCATATATACGTATATGTGTCCAAAACTCTCTTCTTACCAGG